GCCTTCACTTTGACTGCCCTAGTCAAACTATACAGAAGCACTTGCTCTTTAATAATTCCCTAACAGGCTAATTCCTAGCTCACTAAGAAACAGTCTTCTCCCTGTCGGAAATCCTAATCTTTTCTCTGCTAGATCAAATCCTTCTCTCTCCCTTCTGTCAGAAATGACAGCCTATTTACACTCTCCTTCAACTCCTCCCCTTGGGGTCTGAACCAATCGGGTGTTGGCTGACTCCTCCCCTTGCCTCTCTGCCTATACCACCATGTCCGTCATCCTGAGCTACCTTCCCAACATGGAGGCCAGCTCACTGACTTCCAGGCTGCGGCCTCACGAAGAAAAGGTATGAGTTCATTACAACATGTAAGCTGTTACAAGGATTTTGAAAGAAAACTAAAGCAAATGAGAAAAAATACATCTTTACCTGGGAAATGTTGTGCATGTATTGAATTTGAGTTTTACCTTGCCTTTGACGAAAATGATAGTCAGATCCCTTAACACTCAAAACTGAAGATCAGAATAAACAAAACTACCCTTCAGAGAACTATACTGAATAAAAAGTCTCAGTTTGTTCACAGTTATATCACACACTCAGCTTTACAAATGTTACATTCAGGATAACACTGTAATGTCTGAATTATGTCCAAATATCTTGCTTTTACTCATAGATTTTTAAAATTCAATTTGTAATTCTACTGAATATATTTTTCAGAGAAGAAAAATCTTGAAGGCCATTGTGAAACCCATTGCAGTTCCATGCATGCCTATTTTGACTGATTTAAATGAGGCTTACTTTTAGATAGGTTTGCATATGTTCACTATCTACACTAAGATTAAAGAGAGAGATTGGCCAAATGTAAAGATGTCCTTCCACTTGCGCTGACTTTGAAATACTTTCCCCTCTTCTACTAATATCTGAGTCCTCAGCTGGACTTTTCTGTTTTCTCAAAGAGAATTTCTTAGTCCTATTTATAGATTGTAAAAATACACAGAGATATGGAGAGGGATGTGGCATAGAGGTATACCCACTTCAGATTCTGTTAATGCTGTTGCTTATGTCAATTGATGTCTGCTGCAGTCTTACAATAAGCTGTGTTTGTGAAACACTGTTATTTAGCTGAAGATAATAGTTATGCATTAGACTCATTCACTCCCTTAAAAGTCAGGAGAATTCATGAAACCTCCAATACATTAGATTGCAGCTTCCAGCATTCTTCATAGGTGTCTGTACTGACTAGCATAACTTCTGGAGGGATGTATGATTTTTCCCTTGGTTTACAGGGTATTGGCTGGAATCCTTTTGATTAATTCCTCTTAAGGGAGTTGAATTATATAAATTCTGAATGGTTTTATATCCAGTTGATGCAATGGCTCTTCTCTTCTCAGAGTTGTCTCAATGTGCTTCTCAACCTACTATTACTTCTTTTTAAGTTGGAGCTGTGGCCAATGCTATTTTATTGTATATTTTTAGTGTGACACTTTGGCAACTACTGTTTATACATTGCAAGGGTAGCTATGGGATGGGGGAATTCTTACTTCAATCCTTAAAAGGCTGTGGATCAGACTAAAACAGGATGAGGGTACCCGTTACCACTCATTTTGCAACCCCAAACTTCTATCTGTCACCATCTGCTTCCAATTTGTCTATGGTATATCCCTGGTAAATAAATAAATAATCTCCCTGGTGGCATAGAGTTGCCTTCAAGTTGTGCCAACTTATAGCACCCCTGAGATGAACCTATCCCTCGAGTTTCTTGGCAAAATTTGTTCAGAGGCCTATTGCTTTTGCCAATTTTGAAGGTGAGAAAATCTGAGTTGCTCAAAGTCACCCAGGGGATTTATAGGTCCAAGTAGGGTGTTGCAGTAGAGTCTGCTGGCAATGTTACAACTGATAGTAGTAGTAGAGGAGGGAAACGATGTGCCCAGTTGTTAGATGAAGAGCAGCAAAGGAATTGAATCTGGGAGATACTTATGTCACCCACAGACGAGGAATCCTTCGAAGGTTCCTCTGGCAGTGAAATGAGTGAGGAGGAGGAAGGAGATGGGAGTAGAGGTTTTAAGAGGACTGCTCGGGAGCAAGAGTCAGACGAGGAGCGTCAAAGAAAGAGGATCCGGGGAATACTTACTGCTCCCACTGAGGAAGAGGATTTCATGGGCTTTACTGGAAGTAATGGGTCTGGGAGTAGTGAGGATGAAGAGGAATCACTGGACTGGACACAAGTTCAGGAGATCAGGAATATGTGTATGCAGCCCACGTCCAGTGAAACCTTTGAGGGATTTTCTGGAGGGGACTGGCAAGCTGACGATACCATGGAATCGTGGGGTGATCTAAGTTTTGACAAAAGGTGGAGGGATGGGCGTTGGCGTTCAGCTGTAGAAGCTAAGCCAGCTGACAGCGATGAGGATGGGGTGGAGGGCAACTCATCAACGGATGATGAGTTGTAGGATAAATGAAGGCACTGGAATAATAGAACTTTGCAGTAGGCAAAGTGTTGGTTTCGTGCCTTGGGTCCTGTCACTGCTGCTTCTCTTGTTGGGCTTGGGTCCTGGAACTGCAGGTTGCTGTGTTCTTCGTGTTATGACCAGCTTGGATTTTTGTAAGTGCAGATTTCCCTTCTCCTTGACCTCAGACTGTTTCTGACAACGATGCTGCCTTCTGGACTCTGGTATCTTCAACTGGGACTTCTTCGACTTTGGACTGCTTTTGGACGATGGCTTCTCTTCACGGCTTTTTGTTTGGGCTTTATCTTTGAACTGTGTGTTTTTGATGCATTTTGCTAGAACTCTTGTTTAATCTGGATTTTTTTCCCAGTCTAATCCGGTTTATTTTCTAAGTTTGTTTTTCAAGCTGCAAATTGCTGCAAACTTTGAGTTTTGACCAGAGGCACTGAAGTAAGTGTCTCTGAGTCCTGTTTACTTTGACTTAATAAACTGTTGTTTTGATTACATTCTCATATCTGGCTCTTTAAGGCATCTGAGTTCCGACATAGGGATTTGAAACCTTGTTTCCTGAGCATCCACTATTCAAACCACTGCAACATTCTGGCTGTCAGTCACTGCATATTTTATAATTTTGATTGTTTTGTAAAATAGGAGTGTTTAAGAACCTAAACTGGAGGAAAGGTAGGACCAAGCAAATCGTCATGGTGGAATTAAAACACTAGGGGTCATAATAATCCCTAACCTCAACTTTAGAAAATTTGAAAATGATCTAAATTAATTCATGTATATTAATACATGTAAACCTCAGTATAGATTATGCAAGTAAGGTTTTGGTTTTTCTTTTCTACTAGTACACTATTGCATCATTTTATGCCGTAAGATATTGGTATACCTAAGAGCTAGATTTTTTTTAAAAAAAATTGATAGATTAGAATTTTTTTAACACAGTTCATTTTCAAAGCAACATCCCTGTATTTTATCTGGAAGAACGAAATGAAAGGAATTCAGATAAATGTACTATTCTTTTTTTTAAAAAATTACCTGTGCTCTGCATAAATATGAATAAATATAAAAGGACAATAAGTAGGTTAATTAAAATTATAGTATTAAAACTGTAGAAAGTAATGGTAAGACTTTCACTTGAATTGATAGTGGATTGCTTAATTACAGAGAAATGCAAAAATATGCAGAATTACAGCCTGAAGGAGATTTATGCTTACAATTCGAGCCAAATGGGCAAAGTGGCTTAAAATACTTGTGCAATAATAAACCAATCTTCCAAATTCAGAGATTCAAACTTGTAACCTCAAGCCTTCAGCTGGATCAGGCTTCCAAATCACAGCAGTCAAGCTATAGTTCTTAAATCTTAATTAGCTTGGCAAAGAGTCCGGCCCCAGGGCACAGAGAAATGAAAACTGGAAAGTACGATAAAGCACTGCTTCTTTTAATTCAATGATCAAGATCAGGGAAATCTGTGGTACTGATGCTTCTTTGCTGTCATATTGTCATCTCTGACAGTGCAAGCTACAATGTGTTTTTATTGCTGCGGTGTTTAGATAATAGTTCAAAACAACTTGTAAGACACACAGAGGGAAGGAAGGCAAAAAATGCAGTGAAACTGCACTGGCATTCTTCAGTGGGCAGAAATAGCCTGAAAATATATGCAGAAATTAGTACTGTCTCATAAAGATCAATGGCTGGGGAGATATACAATATTTTTAATGAGCTATATAGATCACGCATACTTGGTCTCCAACAGACCTCAGTCAACCTAGAGACAGTATGTAATGTAAGGTACAATATTAGTTGGAATGGGTGTCTGCTGAGGCCTAGAATTAGGTCATGATATTCATGTAAATTTTTTCGCATAATTAAATGCTTGGCTATCTTTTACCGACACAGCAATTGGAGCTAGACAAGCTTATTGTTTCAGGTGTGACTTTGATTATCCTGTTTCTAACCTCTATAGGCATGGAAGGACTACAAACTAGTAAAGGAAAAGACATCTCATTAACCAAGTAGTATGTCGACTGAAATAGAACAATGATTAAATGCAGCAGTATGAAGTAGGTACAAAATAAATGTGTTGCCACATTTCAGTTCTTTCGTTCTGTAACTAAATGCTTTGAGGCTCCTGCTTCTCACTTTTACAGAGCTAAAAAGTAAAACAGAGATCTAGAAGCTTTTCATGGATAAAGTCAGCTGCTACTCCTGAGATATAAAATATACCATTTTTTTTCAGTCAAGCTTCTTCCCTCCAACCCTACCCAGCAATCCACACATGATGGGCTTGCTTTCCCAGTAGACTCAACTTTGCATGAAAGAAGGGATATAATTGACTTTTCTTTCATGTCTTTAAAGCTTTTTAAAATTCATGAATTTTCTTATCATTTGCTGCAAAGAAAAAGCATTTTCAAATCCTTCTTTAACTGTTGTGCTTAATAGTAACACATTTTACATTCAACAGAAATATAGCAGAATAACGTGCCCCTAAACATTGCATTATTCATGATGTATTTACACCTTTTCTAAAGGGGTTATATGTACGTTTGGTTGCTTACCTGTCACAGAACTGTCTAGATTGTCTATGCTGGATCCTGGCGTATGTTCTAGTCCTCTCAGTGGCCTTGTGATTTCTATAGCCTCTTCTTCGATATCATCCTCATCTTCATCTTCTGGAATCTCTGTTTCCAAATCTGATATTAGAGTCCCAGATACATATCCTAATGGTGGACCTGGGGTCTGAGGTGGCTGGCTGTTGCTTTGACTGTGCCTATAACAGGAAAAACGTAAATGCTAAGCAGTGTATTTATCAGCATATTTAAACAGGAAAGAGCATTCCTATTTGTTTCAACTGGTGAAATGTAACCACCCTATTTTAATGCTCCACTTGAAATCAATAGGCCTTTATATGCCTTTGACAGTTCTCCTGAGTTACTATCTTTTTTCTCTCCTGAAAGGATGGAAAAGGATGGGTTGCTCTGTGTGAATGTGCTTGTCAACTTCTGGTGACCCCATGATTTTCACAGGGTTTTCTTAGACAAGGAATACTCAAATGTGGTTTTGCCAGATCCTCCTCTATAGGCTATAAAATCTGGCATTAACTGGTGGTCTGTCATCCAAATACTAGCCAGGGCTTACCCTATTTAGTTTCCAAGATGAGACTTATATGTATATATGGTCTAAACATTAGCTTGACAAATATATAAAACAATTATCTGATATGAAGAGTATTTTGAAAGAGGAAGTAGTTTCACATTGTGTGCTAAGTGCAAACTTCCATTTTTAGGTTTAAATCTTAAAGACACAATTAGAGATCTCTTCACACATCCCTCCCTCCTGTACCGTTTTGCTGGCAGTCCTGTACCGTTTCTGCAATCGCCGGCAAAATGGCAGGCGCGCAGGTGTCTCGCAGCACCCCCACATATTCTCCTTCCCCCATCAGATGGCACTTCGAGCATCAATGGGACAGGGCCCTGCCAAGTATCATTTAATGGCACTCAGCAGGCTGTGTCCCCAAAGTGCTGCAAGATAGCAGTTTGTCCCAGTGTGATGATGTGGTAGCAGAAAGATGTTTATTTTGAAAGTGCGTTCTTTTATTTGCAGCATTTCAGTCTATGGTGGAAATAAAATGTACAATCCATGTTGCACTTGCATGAAAATGAGATTTCTAAAACAGTTCTTCATCAATGTATTCTTTTAGAGATCCAATAACCCGTTTCTGGCAAACTCTCAGGGGAGTACAATTTCTCTTTTCATGTGTCTTCTAAAATAAACAGTTGAGAGGGTGTATCTGAACATTGTTATAATCAGAATTTATATCTGGAATTACCACTGCAGAATGCTTTTCTCCTACTTTTTCAGATGCATTAAAAAGGAAAAGGTGCCCCCCCTCCCTCACTACTTTACAATTTGTTGTATGTGTTGTTTCTGGACCATTATCAGTATAGAAGGACAAAGGTGAATACGTTTTTGAATGTCTGCTACTGAAAGCTTGAAAGAGATTGTATGAACTATAATAACCTGAGTGTCATATATTAATAGTAACACATTCAGTCAAGGCAATCTAAGATTGTACCATATCAAGGTACCAGATCACATTTGATGTATATTGGAAGCAAAAATCTGCATTGAAAAAGCACAAGTTACCTAATGAGATTCATGATGTTAACTGACACCAAAAGTTGCAGCTGCAGTTTGTATGCCACCACAGGAAGCATAACAGCTGCAAGGTACAGGCTGAAAGCATGCCAGGGCATGCATCTGTGTCCTGCCTGGCACAATTATACATTTAACCCAGACCCAGATTAGCTGATGCTTGGGCTTCTGGCTTCTAACATAAACAAGCTATATCCCATGGTGGAGGTGGCCTAAGCACCCTGTCGATTGGCTGCAGCTTGCAGACGAGATTGAAGTACTGAAAATTATCCAACGAAAACAGCTGGCTTTGGCATCAGCAGGAAATTCATACAAGCCTCTTTGACCTGTAATAACTCTTTCAATGTACATTGTGGCCTTTATTTTGTCAGGAAACATTCCCGTTTTTTTAAAAACTGGCACCATGCCTTTCAGCAAGTAGTTTTAGTTTGCTTCACATTCCCAGTCTTTTCTTATCTTGCTGAGGTTTGATGACTTCTAGAAGTTTTTAAAATGACAACTTGTGACTTTTTGTTCTGTATAGGGAGGTTTTTTTTTCCTCCCATCACTTCCCAGTCACTGAACAGGCTCTTTTATTTTGCTATTTTGTTATTTCATCCTTCTCTGGAAATTGAAAAAAACAATACTAAAATAATTTCCTGTATGTAAACTTTACGAGAGCTAGCATGGTGTAGTGGTTTGAGTACTATGACTCTTGAGATAACGGTTCAAATTCTTGGTCAGTCATGGAAACTCACCCTTAGAAGAGGGCAAAGGGGAAAACCCCTCTGAACAAATCTTGCCTAGAAAATTCTGTGATAGGTTCCACTTAAGGTTGCTATAAGTCAGAAATGACTTGAAGCTGCACACAAGAATATATATACACACTCCATAATCTGTTTTAATCAAGTGACCAATAATAAAGTTATACTTGTCAAAGCTGCAAATGTTCCGGACATGCCATCCTTCTGTCATCAAAGCAGCAATAAACATCTATCTGCTCTGTGTTTTGTTGCATAAAATCCATCCTTTTTTATCAAGGAAGATTTTTTTCAGAGAATACAGATTTTTAGGCTTTAAATTATTCAGTCAAGAGAATTGAGAAAGACTAATTGCATAGACAATGAGGAATCTGTGTTGTTTTATTTTTGATAGCATGACAGAAGTCAGACATTTATATTAATGCAACAGAACAGTGTAACAGTAGCTAGTTTATTGAGGTAAATAGTAAGATTTTAAACCTTCAGAGATTTTGTAAAAATGTTAAACTGTAATGATCTTAATCTACTTCAATTGCCTTTGAAACCATCTTAACGGTCTAGGAATTAGTTTAGTAAAACACATCCCTGTGTACTAATGATATGTAAGGAAAAGAAGGTGTTATTATTAAAGACAGAGAAAGCTTTCTTGGTTTAGTAGCTGCCAGTTTGACAGATGAAACCTTTGCCCTTGAAATGCTGCTATGGGCACATAATGTCTGTCAGGTAAAATCTCCCCACTACTCGGTAACAGATCTATCTTGTCAAATGGTATTGAAGACATAGATATTTCTTTCAAAGGTAGATGCTTTCAAACCTAAATATTATTTTCTCCTGTCTCCCTGGTGTTTTATTTTAATACCATCTGGGTCACTGTCACATTTACCATGCTTGCTTTGCTATATCAAACTGATAGGCCCTGGTCAGTTCATCAAGGTGGGCTTGAAGCATGGGCTGCATCTCCTCCCTTGGAGAAGGTGTTAGCGTTGCAGTGGACTGCTGACCAAAGGAGATGGCTGGCGAAGAAGCTACTCCTCGAACAGGAGGGGTAGGTACTCTATCATCTTCTTCTTCAAGTTCATCCTCCATTCCCTGATGCAAGTATGTCTGGACTGGCAAAGGTGGGCACCATCCATCACTGTCGTATCTAGAACATAAATTGTTATGGGTTAAGGTTTGGTTCATTTATTTACATAATTTATTTATTTAACATGTATAATGTATTGTGTGTGTCTTCAGGCTGTCCATCAACACATGGTTATCCCATAAGGAAGGCTTGCCATCCAAATGGTTTTCCATTTCCTTCCTTTGAATACAAAATGTGGCACCTGACATTCCATGCGGAGTCTTTTTCAACTAGGCCTGACCACAGTTCTGGTTTGCACTCTCATCCTATAACTGAGGATCATCAGATTATAAAAATTGTGTTACACAAACAACTTGCCCATTTTGTATATAAACCATCCAGCTACATAAAATCAAACTTTGTGAAAGTGAAGCAAGGCTAAGATTTCGGTTTTACATCTTTGGGATAAAAGGCATAAACTCCCCAAAAGCAATCCATCAGTCAAAAAGAAGTTTTAATATATCACTAAAATAAATGATTAAAACAAATGGTGTAAATATTAAAATAGCACATAAATTATTTAATTATGTAGGCAGTAATTAAAATTGATGTGGCAGGGATATTTTTTCTTCTTCCCTAACGCTTTTTAAACATATTTATCTGACCAAATGTCACATAGTAATATGTTCCTGTCAGCAACAACAACAACAACAACAACAACAACAACAACAACAACAACATTTTATTATGGTCCAAAGACCCTTATTACACTGAAGGCATAAAATGTATGCAGGTAATGAGATTAAGAACATCCAGTTGATTGAACACACAAATGGATAAAATTTACAACAGCAAAAACTGCTTACAATACATGTTGGCTAAAAACCTAAGTAAAAGACTACGAGAAGTGCTGGCGCATTTCATCCTCAAGGTATGCAGGTAATGAGATACCTACTAAGGAAATTCCTGAACTAGGGTTCCCAGAATGGCCTAAAATGTGTAATCTAAAGTTCCTGTCAATAAAAATGCAGTTTTTGTTTGAATGGCAATTATCTACAGTACCATCATTGCAGAGGGGAAAGGATTCAAGATACAGATTTCTATAGTTTGCATGTAATAGAGATTGCAGAAGGCAGTAAGAAAAGCTGTCTACTTTTTGACAACTCAACAGCAGAAAATCTACTCAGCGTAAACTAGCCATTACAGCATCTTTTAACTTCAATTAGCCACAGTATAATAATCCTAATTTAATTAAAATCCTAATTTAGTTAAAATCCCAATTGAGGCCATGTGGACAAATAGAGGTCAAATCAAGGACCAGTTTCTCATGGAGGGCACCTCAAGGTTTTTTCAGTGTATTAGACATTCAGACACACAAATATGACAGGAGTATAGAAATCAACATTTATTAAATGTTGATTAATTTGATTTATTGTCTTCTGACTTCAAAACATGTTCACCTACAGCCTCAATTAATCAAATAACCTAATGAGAAGTTTAGAAGTATTCCAACAAATTTTGATAAGCCATGACTACAGTCCTTGCATCTCTAAATATGTATCCTGTTGAAAGATGACTTTAAGCCTGGGGCTGGAATCATATTGCCCTCCAGATGATGTTGGGACTCAGACTGTAGGCAGCCTCAGATCTCACAACTAGTGCTGATGTATGATGAGAGTTGTCATTGAGAAGCCTGTCTAATTTCCACTCTGATTTAATCCAACAAAGAATGGCTACTGTCTGGGCTAAACTTCCTATTGACATAAAACTGTCACCTTATACACAAATGCTTAAAGATTACATCTGAGGCCTTAACAGGAAGTGATTCCTAAGAGTTTGAAGTGTTCACATTTTCCAGAAGAATAAACTAAGTTTAGTGTAATTTGTATAGTAAATATACTATTTGTGAATGTGTAGGATTCTCATACAAGATATCTATAAGCTATACATTTAGGATCATTAAATGGTAAACACTAATATTTGGGGAAATTAGAAAATGTAATGCATATAATGATATGTCTTTGCAGGATATTTGGTGTGAAGGTCCAAGCTTTTTCTTGTCTAGATGGTTCTTGTTCCGGCCCTTGTTTCTTATATAGGGAGTTTTTCATGCTCTTTTGGATCATAGATATGTTGTGTCATATATATATATATATATATATATATATATATATATATATATATATATATATATATAGAGAGAGAGAGAGAGAGAGAGAGAGAGAGAGAGAGTAGCATATATATATTAGCTACAATACGCTGGAGATTATGCTTACTTTTGCAAATCTCATTACATTTACATAAAACTATGGCTATCCATAGCAATTTGGAACTTTTGAAATAACATAAATCTGCCTGTAAAATAAAAAGTAAATGACATACATAATAGAATGGTGGGAAGTTTTTCAACCATTAGGTAAGGAAAAAAGAGACAGCAGAAAGGCTGCTGCATAATACCATGCAGCAATGACCTTCTATCTCCTTTCATGACCTGTTACTAGCATTTGAATGTTCTGATTATCAGGTCACCAAAAAGAAGGAGGTAGCTGGAAGGTCTGGTGATACGATGGAGCCTTCATTTCATGAACCCTGAATGCTCATTAAATATATATACCAACAATAACTTGAGTCTTGTTTTCATTTCAAATGCTGGATGCATGTATAATCTATTCTATTTGTATTTAGTAACCAGATCATTCAGTGGAATAAAGCAGCAAAGCTTCATTTCACGTCTGTAAACTTTTCTGAATTTTTCTGTAAATGATATAGATTTCTAAGTTTAGCTTTCATTTTGTAAAGATGCACTTTATGTAAAACTACAGTGATTATCAATGCAACATTATAAATAACTTGAACATAAAAGCTGCTGTTGAGTTGTGTGAAACACAAAAGTATGCTGTCAGCTTCACAGATTACATAGCTTTAAATAACCAGTGTTGTCTTGGTGACAAATATAATTTTCTCAGCCAAATAATAGATACTAGAGAGAACCGAGAAGCCAAGACCTATGTCACAGAGGTTTCTCTAAAGATAATGCATCAATTTACCTGTCTTTTTTTATCATGGTGTGTCTTAAAATATATGAGAGTTATTTGTCTTTTACTGCAGAGCTATCTGGGCTGGGAACAGCAAATACATTAAAGTAAAGATATCATTTTGGGGGGCAATTATTAATGAGTAACTGCTTGAAGTAAATTTTGAATCTCTTTGTATAGTACCAATTGTGAAATGCTTTATTGGGGTAAACCTTTCAGGAGCAAGTGAAGCTTCTGTTAGCAAAGTAATATGGAGACTGCAATATAAATGCAATGACAGATACTATTTCTCTCTTCTGGTGAACTTAGAAAGGGTTGGCTTTTGGAAAATTGTGAACAAGGATCAATGAATCTTACATAGTGGAGTCATGTTGTTAAGTGTCCCCCTCAAGAACTGTTCTAAAATATGTTCATGCAGGGCCAGTTAATACCCCCTCCCCAATTCCCACACATTTCAAGGGATTTACCATTCTAAAGCTTTCAAATGCCTTCCTGAAGATTTCCAAAGTCCAATGAAGAAAGAGTGAAGAGGTCATATGGTTTAGCTTGCGGAAAAGATGATAATGGACACTGGCAATTTTCTGTATTGTCAGGAAAATGTACTAGGTTACTTTTGAAGTCTCCTGTAACACTGTAATGTCACATACCATCTATTTTGGCCTTCAGAAGCTAGAGGCATGGAAACCAAATAATCATTCTTTGAAAGAGTCATCTTCATATGATGGCAAGTCAGCAACACACTATCTTGGCCATTTTACTTTTTTAAGATGGGGGTGATAAGCTATATTTATGATCTGGTAGGAGAAGTGCTTGCCAGAATAATGAAGAAAGACATCTTATCTCCCCTTGTGATCTTACATTTCTACTTCCCCCTGGTCATATTTAAGCTCTAAAGTGTTGCACTATCTTGCTTCCCTCTTCCATCATGTCTCTTGATAGAATCATAGAGGTAGATGGAACTGCAAGGGCCATCTAGAACAGATCCTTGCTATGCACAGACACAAAACTAAATCAGCCCCTAAAAATCCAACTTCTGTTTCAATACTTCTAAAGAAGTCCACCATGACCCTCTGAGGTAATCAATTCCACTGATAAACAGTTCTTATGCTCCTAATATATACCAGTGTATAAGTCAACTTCATGTATAACTTGAGGACAGGTTTTGGGGCCAAAATTATAGATTTCTATATGACCTATGGCTAAGTGGAGGATTATTCTGTGGAGAGGAAAAAGCACCAATGCTACTTCAGGAGGGCAGCCGCCCCTGGTCACTGCTGTCATTTCCTTACCCAGGAATTCAAAAAAAGTCAGAGGCAGTGCCATCTCAGAGAGTATTGAGGTGCCCCGGTCCTTTTAGATTCTCCTGGGACAGATTTGCTCTTGCATTTCACCACTTTAATCAAGGAAGGGAATTATTCCATATATATATGAAATAAGGCACAGTACTTACATAGACCTGTAAAGAAGTCCACAAAGTTTTATAGGCTGTATTTCTACTAATATTTCTAGACTTATACATGAATATCTAGAGTAAGTGGATATTTTAACCCATTGGTTGATCTCAGTCTCTGGAGCAGTCTCTGGAGCAATAAGTTTGCTCTACCTTCTATTTCAATGTGCCTACCTATTGATTTGTGGAAGAAAACCAATCACTATGCATGTAAGTGAGTGAGAGGGAAATGATGTAATGGCATGTTACTCACATACATCTAAAGAAGTCCACCATGACCCTTGTTCCAAACTCCCAATTTTTTGAGTAGCAAGAAGACAAAGAGTGGCACTTTCCTATGTTTGAAAAATTTAAAATAAAGTCCTTGAAATTTCAAGTGTTTTGTATTGTTTTGTTTTAGTTAAAAGTATATTAGAATAGCTTGCTGGAAGGAAGAGGCATCACAGGCCTGTATCCAAGTGCCACTGTATCTTATCTGCAATGTTTCATTTGTAGTTGACGCCAGGCACCATTTTTCCTTTTCTCCATTTCATACTGCAAAACGATTTCTAAAATGTTTCTTCCCCAATTCTGTTTGGTAAATGCTATTCTATGAATATTGGAGAAAAAGTCTACATCAGAACAATACAAATAGTCATTAACAAACACCAGTGTTGTCTGCAAAGATGTGTTGCAATGTAGAGTTCAGTTTTCCATTCCTTCTGGCCTCCCTCTCAGTACAAGATAATCAGTATCTGAGGCAGATGAGTACATGTAGGTCTTGATTAAGCAGTTCTGGGGATTATTTTATTCTGCTTAGAGTTTTTACCCTTAAAACATTGTTCACTTTGAAAATCTCGATGCCAAAGCCAGATGAGCTGATATCTTCCTGTAGAGTCTAAGCAATTTGGTTTTGGCTATGCTGTTGCCATCTGAGGCTCCATGTCCACTATTAATATCTATGATTATAGTTGTCAAAGATCTTATATCTATTCAGACATACTAGTAGGCCAGTCGTTCCCCACTGGTGCACCCCAGATGTTGGAATATTTTTGTGCCATCAAGTCACCTGTCCACTTATGTTACCCCCATGAATTTCACAGGATTTCTTAGGCAAAGTCTACTCATACATGTATGGGAATATAGCTCCCATTAACTGCCAGTAGTCTAAAACTTATCTAGGATCATGGATTGGAAGATTGCTTTTGCTGAAGTAGGGATATCAAACCATATGTGTTAATAGTAGATGTTTCTTCAAATGGTTTCTAAGAATAATGAAGAAATTATGTGAAGAATAGACCTATGACTACATACTATGAAAAATCATTTTCTAATTTGATTGGTATATACATATATACATTGGATCCATTTATGAATATAAATTTTTATGGTTGTATCTTTGTATTATCATTCATATTAATGCACCTATGCAATGTATAATAGTATCTTTATATTTAAACTATAGAACCTGACAGATGCTTTCAGAGATTGTGTGCTATAGATCTAAGACACTGAATTTTTAATTCTACCCAAAGAGACAAAAGTAAATTACCCTGTTTCTTGCTGATCCACCCCATAGTGTTCTAACTCTGTGCCTGGGAGAGGCTGTATTGGAGGGGGTGGAAGAGGAATGCTGGCCCATGTAGACCCATTGTTTTTCTGAGGCTTGGAAGTATTTTTGTTTTTCTTTTTCTTTCCTCCTTTTCCACCTGAAATCAAGAAACATTATTTAAGTGTGAAGAAACAAAGATAATTTTTACATATCCTGAAAGAGCTCTAAATCCAGATGGCACACTAAAAGGGAGGCGGGAGAGAGAGGGTATTTTTATCTTTGCAACATCAGCAGCAACATGTTATAATTGTCATAAGGTTATAAATAATAATAGGGTGAAATGAAATGGAAATAGTCTGTATAATTGCCCTAATTTAGTTCTTTTTATTTCACACACTTTATATAGACTAGTTACAATGGACCATAAGCTGAATAACAGTTACAATGTTCTTGATGTATCAAAACTATATTTATTGATTTTTCATGTCTGTTTTAAGAATCCATGTAGTCACTCTTGGGAAAAAAAAGTAATAGACCACAGTAAAACGTTTTTCAGATAGCAGTTCTCAATGTATATACAATAGTATTTTACATATTGTCTCTGCTTGGGAAAAGTGTAGTTAAAGATACAGTCACAATGTTTACCATTTAAACTTCTTTCTCTAACAACAACAATAATAACAACACTTTATTTATATCCCGCCACCATCTCCCCAAGGGAACCTGGAGCGGTTTACATGAGGCCAAGTCCAAAAACACAGCTACACATCTTTTTTATCCAAAAGGTCCAAAATTGATAAAAATAATGTAAACCTAACTTTCTCTAGGAAATTATGAGGGAATTTAACGTAAAAAAATTGGTAATACCTTGATAGTAGTATTTTTAAGGTCATCTAATTAAAGATTTGTGGTTGTTAGTGTGATTGTTTGCCTTCAAGTCCTTTATGACTTATTGTGACCTGAAGGAGGTTTTCTTGGTGATATCATGGGTTTTCTTGGTGATATGTGAGCAGAGAGGTTAGTGAGTTTCCTTCACCAAGAAAGGATGTAAACCCTTGTCTCCAGAGCTATAGTCCAATAATCAAAACACTACACTACACCACAATTGCTCTGATAATACCCTAGCACAAAGTTGCTGGAGAATTAGAGAGAAAGCAGATCAATTAACAATAAAACTTAAAATAAGATTCAAGAAATAGATAGGGAAATAAGAAGAGAATGTTAGTATAACATTTGGAAAAAAAACGTGTAAGACATAACAATTAACAGTTGGAATTATGATCTGCAACCTAGGGAGAAAGAATGCAGCAAGGAATAGGGAAGCAGGCAATTGCACAAGGGTCCGTTTAGGTAAGAATTAGGAACTAAAAGTTGCATGAGGGTCATAAGAAATATAGGAAAATCAAGCAGAAGGATAGTCAAAACAATCAGACATTGCAAAAGTTATTGAAGTGGTTTTATATTGCATTCTTAAAGTGAAAATAAACATATATTATAAAAATTGCATAATTCTACCTAATATATTTAATTCAGCAAAATTGGTTGCTGATATTTCTAAAGACTGATAATCCATTTTAAAAAATGGCACAATGGAACAATTATTCTACAGCTTGCAGCATAAAACCTATATGTTATGATTGTATGCAGCTCTGGAACTTTTAAAGAGGAACTGTCATAAGAAGCTTATCTTTCCATTCCAGCATGTGGCAATAGGTGGATATTTTGATGTATGATAGAAATACTGTGAACCCTTATGGGAATTGAGGGGAGGGTTTAATAATGATACAACCAAAATATTAACCTCATCACGAGGCTCTTCAGAGAAAGGCAGTGCTATAAAGTGAAGATTGATTTACGAATAAAGTCAACATTGTGCCAGAAGAACGAGAATGTTACAAAATAAGATTTCCAATCATGCTGAAATACACAGCCTACAAAGGCAACAAATATTTTCTTATTATCTCTAAATGGGTTTCTTGTTCTGTTAGGGGAAATAAGGTGCACTGTTGGGTTTTTTTTGTTGAAGTCGTGGTTTTATAGAAGATAATGACATATTCACAAATGTCTAAATGGAAATCACATTGCAATATTCAAAAAGAGACTCTGGAAGTAGGGACCATCTTTGAAGGTTATAATTGAGAATTCTAAAAAAGCTGCTTACAAGCATAAGCACTTCCCCTTATACACATCATATTGAAACCAACCTGAGAGGCTGCCACTTCTTTCTGAGCTGTTGTGAGAGCTGGTGGTGCTGAAATCCTGTGACTGGTTGTGTGGCATTCTATTAGACAATCCCTCAGCCAATCGATAGTCAGGGATGTAAAGTAATGCTAAGGGTTAAAGGGCAAAGGTCACAGTGCCATCATGTGATTAGTTTAGTAGCACATGCACAACATGCAAGTAGCTGCAAAACAGCTAATGTGATAGCGCTGTGGGAATATTCAGCCTAGTGTGGGAGCAGGATGGAGCACAAGCGATTTATGACAATGGCAAAAGATGAGGAAAACTGAAATCATAGCAAAAAGTGTTAGTTGTATATGGAAAATTTGAGGATACAAGCAAGATATGTTGTTAATTGAGGGAAAGGGGAATAGAGGTGGACATTTAGCCATTTCTCACCATGCACAACAATCTTACAAAATATTTTCATAAGAAAAAATACCAAGTAGAATCACCATTGTTGCCTTTGTTCTGATCAGGTAGAGAGTATCCAAATCCCATCAGGTCACTTTTTTGCTGAATTGAACTTTTCCACTGGGGGTCTGGTAAATCCACTGCCAATTCATGGATGCTGTTGGAATGTAGTATTTGTGTTGTGGCATATGGAGTAGCCTGTGTTATTTGACTGGAGCTATTGTAACTAGTTTTGGTAGTGAAGTCAATGCTGCTATAAATGGCTCCATCAGAGAGCATTGTGGCGGTTTTATCCCCTTGGCATGGAACTGGTGGTAACACGTCTGTAATAGGGGAAAATGAATGAAACAAGTCAGCACTACACAGGAAACCCAAAACTATCAAGGTTTTAATATGAAAAATTATTCTGACATCCTGCAGGTTTGCATTTCAGCAGAGGCTGGGTCCATTAGCCAATGAAGGAAAAATGATGTACAATTATCCCCTCAGTATCAGCATCTGTGACAAACTTTCCAGTTGTCCTTCACATCTCACTGCTTAAAACCATCTCTCCTCCATACCTTCAGGTGTGAAAATGAAATTGGGAATATTTCTATGCTGAAGAATGTTCTCAATTGTCCATCTCACATCAGAGCAAATGAAACTGTCTGTACTCCAGAGAAACAATAAAAAAGAATAACTCTATACATCACAAAAAAATCACCTCCCTTTGCTCAGTTGTCTGAACACTGATCTGCCTTCAGACATGCACAATTGGTGGGGATGAGAGACAGGGCCTACTTGGTGGTGGCCCACTGTCTGTGGAATGCACCCCCCCCCCAGTGAAATCAGGGTGACTTCTTGTCTCCTCTCCTTCAGGAAAACACTCAAGGCTTAGCTTTGGGTCCAAGCATTCAGGCAGCTGGCTGAGCAACATCTGTAATGACTTGTGAGAATTGTTAATTAAGAGGCCTTGGACTGGAACTCTGGACTATGATTTAGATTTGTGTACTCAGACTTGGTTGTGTTAATATTTTAAGGGCTAATATTTTTCATATATTTTTATTGCCCCTTTATTGTACTTTTATTACTGTCAATTTGTTCATGTTAATTATTCTGCTCTGTTTCTTTGTCAGTATCTAATGATTGCCAATTGTAAGTCATCCTGAGTCCCTACCCCTTCAGGGGTTGAGATGGATGGGATACAAATGCTCTAAATAAATAAATTCATTTCCAAGGTATGTGTTGCATTCAAAAAGTTATTTTTAGTGCAACACTATCTTATTTGTTTTTTGAAGTTCATACAGGTTATAATAAATGGGTGGAAGAACTCAGAGAGACATATACATTGAGGTTGGTAATGTTTGAAAATTTCAGAAGTGATAAACAGAATCATCTGATTATTTATGTTGATAAACTTGGAAATGTATACCAAAATGAAAGCTAAAATCAGAGAAATGCATGAAACATTTCAATATATTGAATAGTTTGAACTGAGCATGAAACTCATTCTTCCATCTACCTGGACAAATTAATATCTTTATGACTGCAGTGTGTGGATTACTCATTCTTACATCCTGATAATACCAATGTCTGGCTCAAGAAAAAGCTCCCCTCCCTGACTAATGAAACCATCAAAACTGTTGATAATGTAATGTAGAAAGCTATATCAACAAATAAACAGAATAAATAAATAAATGCTAGACTGCCTTTCAACTGATACATTTTTGATGGTATTTATTTACTCAAAAGTTTTGAACTACCTCTTCAACAAGTATAAAAGAAGCATGACTAATCACAGAAATCAAAATATAGCATCCAATAATCATCTCCAGGATGAAATCTATGAAAAACGCTACATTTAATATTTTAAATCATAGACTTTAAAAATATTATCCCAGAAATATTAAAATGAATTTGAACCTCATAACATTGATGAAGTCCAGTGTTGCAATTTGCTAGCCTCTGTTGTGAATCAGGGCAGCAGCAGGGCAATCCTGGTGCCCCAGCTGGCAACTGATGCTTCCCTATCACATATGGGGAAGCGTCACTACGCAGCTTAATCCAGTGGAAGCCCATTTGCTCCTAATTGAACATGGAGAAGTTACCTTTTTGGCGGCACAGCATCTTACTATTCTGCCACCCCAGTTCACCCATAGAGCCCCACTGGAAGTCAACCAACATTGTCTGATGGGCAGCGCGGGGCTTCATGAGTGAACTGGGGCAGAAACATTTTAGACGCTTATTTTTTCATGTGTGATGAGGTTGTTAGATACTTTTCATATTTTACAGATGTTTAGTCTAGAATTTCTCCAGCAAAGGATCACCGCCTTGTCGGGGCGCTGGAGCTTGAGCACCTCAATGATGTCATGAGCGAAACCGTGAAGGGACACCCAAGACGGGACGGTTGTGGCAGAGAGGTCAGACCAAGCGTGATCCCTGGGGAAGGCAATGGCAAACCACTCCAGTATCCTTGCCAAGAAAACTAAAGGGACCAGTACAACCAGAGATATGTCGGTATGCCATTGGAAGATGGGACTCCCAGGTCGGAAGATGGCCAAAATGCTACTGGGGAGGAGCAGAGGATAAGTTCAACTAGCCCCAGATGTGATGACGCAGCTAGCTCAAAGCCGAAAGAAAGGCTAGCGGCTGACGGTACTGGAGGTGAACGACGAATCCGATGCTCTAAAGATCAACACACCATAGGAACCTGGAATGTAAGATCTATGAGCCAGGGCAAATTGGATGTTGTTATTGGTGAGATGTCAAGACTAAAGATAGACATTCTGGGGGTCAGCGAACTGAAATGGACTGGAATGGGCCACTTCACATCAGATGACCACCAGATCTACTACTGCGGACAAGAGGAACATCGAAGAAATGGAGTAGCCTTCATAATTAATAAGAAATTCGCTAAAGCGGTGCTTGGATACAACCCAAAAAATGACAGAATGAGCTCAATTCGAGTGCAAGGAAAGCCTTTCAACATTACAGTGATCCAAATATACGCCCCAACCACAGCTGCTGAAGAAGCAGAAGTAGATCAGTTCTATGAGGATCTGCAGGACCTACTGGATAATACACCAAAAAGAGACATTATTTTCATTACAGGAGACTGGAATGCCAAGGTGGGAAGGCAAATGACAACAGGGATCACAGGCAAGCATGGTCTGGGAGAACAAAATGAAGCGGGACGCAGGCTGATAGAATTTTGCCAGGAAAACTCGCTGTGTATAACGAATACTCTCTTCCAACAACCTAAAAGACGGCTTTATACATGGACCTCTCCAGACGGTCAACACCGAAATCAGATTGACTACATCCTTTGCAGCCAAAGGTGGCGGACATCCATCCAGTCGGTGAAAACAAGACCTGGGGCTGACTGTAGCTCAGATCACGAACTTCTTATTGCCCAATTTAGAATAAAACTAAAGAGATCAGGGAAAATTACACAGACCAGTTAGATATGATCTCAATAACATTCCTAGCGAATATACAGTGGAAGTGAAGAACAGATTTGAAGGACTAGATTTAGTAAACAGAGTCCCAGAAGAACTATGGACAGAAGTCCGAGACATTGTTCAGGAGGCGGCAACAAAGTACGTCCCAAAGAAAAAGAAAACCAAGAAGGCAAAATGGTTGTCTGCTGAGACACTGGAAGTAGCCCAAGAAAGGCGGAAAGCAAAAGGAAACAGGGATAAGGGGAGATATGCCCAGTTAAATGCGCAATTCCAGAGGTTAGCCAGAAGAGATAAGGAACTATTTTTAAAAATAAGCAATGCATGGAAGTGGAAGAAGACAACAGAATAGGAAGGACAAGAGACCTCTTCCAGAAAATTAGAAACATTGGAGGTAAATTTCAGGCAAAAATTGGTATGATAAGAAACAAAGATGGCAGGGACCTAACAGAAGCTGAAGAGATCAAGAGAAGGTGGCGAGACTATACAGAAGATCTGTATAGGAAGGATAATAATATTGAGGATATTTTTGACGGTGTGGTGAATGAATTAGAACCAGACATCCTGAGGAGTGAGGTTGAATGGGCCTTAAGAAGCATTGCTAACAACAAGGCAGCAGGAGACGACGGGATCCCAGCTGAACTGTTTAAAATCTTAAAAGATGATGCTGTCAAGGTGATGCATGCCATATGCCAGCAAATATGGAAAACACAAGAATGGCCATCAGATTGGAAAAAATCAACTTATATCCCCATACCAAAAAAGGGAAATGGAAAGACTGCTCAAACTTCCTTACAGTGGCCCTTATTTCTCATGCCAGTAAGGTAATGCTCAAGATCCTGCAAGGAAGACTCCAGCAATACATGGAGCGAGAGTTGCCAGATGTTCAAGCTGGGTTTAGAAAAGGTAGAGGAACGAGAGACCAAATTGCCAATATCCGCTGGATAATGGAGAAAGGCAGGGAGTTTCAGAAAAACATCTGCTTCATTGACTATTCTAAAGCCTTTGACTGTGTAGATCATAATAAATTGTGGCAAGTTCTTAGTGGGATGGGCATCCCAAGCCCCTTCCCTCTCTCCTGAGGAATCTGTACAAGGACCAAGTAGCAACAGTCAGAACTGACCACGGAACAACAGACTGGTTCAAGATTGGGAAAGGCGTACGGCAAGGCTGCATCCTCTCACCCAACCTTTTTAACTTGTATGCAGAACACATCATGCGATGTGCGGGGCTGGATGAATGCAAAGCTGGGGTGAAAATTGCTGGAAGAAACATTAACAACCTCAGATAAGCAGATGACACCACTCTGATGGCCGAAAGCGAGGAGGAGCTGAGGAGCCTTCTAATCAAGGTGAAAGAAGAAAGCGCAAAAGCCGGGTTGCAGCTAAACATCAAAAAAACCAAGATTATGGCAACAAGAATGATTGACAACTGGGAAATAGAGGGAGAAACCGTGGAGGCCGTCACAGACTTTGTATTTCTAGGTGCAAAGATTACTGCAGATGCAGACTGTAGCCAGGAAATCAGAAGACGCTTACTTCTTGGGAGGAGAGCAATGTCCAATCTCGATAAAATAGTAAAGAGTAGAGACATCAGAATGGCAACAAAGATCCGCCTAGTCAAAGCCATGGTATTCCCTGTAGTAACCTACGGATGTGAGAGCTGGACCTTAGGAAGGCTGAGCGAAGGAAGAGATACTTTGAGCTGTGGTGTTGGAGGAAAATCCTGAGAGTGCCTTGGACTGTGAGAAGATCCAACCAGTCCCTCCAGGAAATAAAGCCCGACTGCTCCTGGAGGGAAGGATATTATAGAAGTTGAAGTTGAAAATAATGATACTGGGGAAGTTGGAGAAGATGATGCTGGAGAAAGTGGAAGGAAAAAAGGAAGAGGGACCGACCAAGAGCAAGATGGATGGATGGGCATCCTTGAAGTGACTGGACTAACCTTGAGGGAGCTGGGGGTGGTAACAGCCGACAGGGAGCTCTGGCGTGGGCTGGTCCATGAGGTCACGAAGAGTCGGAGACGACTGAACGAATGAACAACAACAAGTCTAGAATTTGATCCCCCCCCCCTTACATTGTCTGGTGGATCACAGAGAGATAAATAACTGTAATTACATTATTTTCATAAGAGGCAAATTAACCAGATTTTCTAATATCCCTACATCCATGTAAGTGTGCAATGCTACAATATTATGAACTCCATGATGAATCAGCATTAAAAGAAAATGCACATGAACCTTCCTATTATCGCAGTTAAACTTTTTCTTTCATCTCACTTCATTTTGAAAAATACTGCTTTGAGCCTGAGCAGCTGCCTTTTTTGCCCTGGGATGATGCTTTATCATCATGAAGCACCTTCTCAAAGATGTCTGCTGTCCTGTTCCCAAGACATGTGGAAACACTGTGTTGCCAGCTGAGCAACAACAGTGCTTTTAAACAGTAGAAGAAAGTGGAGCAACCTAAAGACATCCTAGACTATAATTAATTTGCAAGCAGCTATTATAGCCACTGATTGATGGGAATGTTTTCATGCCTCAGAAAAGAGGTGGGTGAAATGTGGCTCACAGATCCCAGGTTTTTCCAGCTCCTCAACACCCTGATATTTTAAATCCAGAATTGCAGTTCATACTCTGGTAAAGGCTGTTGTTGGAATATTTAAGGAATATTCAAAGGGTGTTTTCTTCAGCCACAGGGAAGTCGGATTGGATGTACTTTCAGGGACCATGGTTTTGCAATCTAAATGCATTAAAATGTCATTAAAATGCACAATGTAATGACTGGGAAGTGAGGATGTGAGTGAGAGAATGTAATGATTGTGTAATGTTTTTTGAAATGAGCAAGAACTTTAACAGAATATTTCATTAGATTTAGATAACTAAATATTCATTAAATTTAGACAACTATTTCATTAGATTTCATTATTTCATTAGATTTAGATAACTATTGTCAGTATCCAATTGTTGTATAATATCAACACAAGTGATGTTGTGGTTCCAAATGCCTAGTTCTGCCCCGTGTTCAAGAGGAAGGGACTCTCCACACCAACGAAGTTGGTGGGGAGAGCGATTTGCCCCACCCCCCGAAGAAAGAGAATGGGAGGTTCCATTTAGAACCTCCTGGAAAAAGGGGCGGGGGCTGGCTAACCACGTGAGCCAGCCTCTGCCCCTCAGTCTTGTTAGACCTTTCGTACGGAAAGACGTGTGTAGCTGAGCTCCAGGTCGGTCTCGGAGCTCTCTGGGGAGGAGGCCGCTCCTCCTCCTCCCTTAGGGGAGCAGGCTGGGAGCTTCGCACGGAGGCGACGAGGGCGAGGGAACGGCGGACGCTGTTTCCCTCGCCGATTTTTACCTTTTAGGCTGGCTGGGGCTGCGAGGCGAGCGGCGCGCGGAGCAGCTGCCTCGGCCGCCGTCCTCCTTTTTGTGTTTGGTTTTTTGCCCTTCGGGAAGGGCGATGGGAGGCTAGGCGCGCTTCCCCGCCGTTGCCGTTGCCTCCGGCGCTGCCCGGCTAGTGCTCCATGGCGCCGGCGGCGCGGCTCGGCAAGCATTTTAAGGGCCGTTTGGCAGGGGCGCGCGGCGCGCCTTGTTAAGGGGGCAAAACGTTGGCGGCCCTAATGCCCCGGACGACCGGCGCTGCTGACGCCTTTAAGAGATTAGCGCCATTTTGATTTTGTTTGGCGGCAACGGCCGCCATCTTGGGGCCGTAGGGTTGCAGCCGCCATTTTGTAAGCGTCCGTGACGCTGATTAGTTTGGGGCCTTAAGGCCCGGGAGATGGCGGTGGCGCGGTTTAGGGATTTGGCGGGAATAGCCGCCATTTTGGGTCCGTTACGGGAGCGGTGCCTGGCGATGGCCGAAGCCGCCATTTTAATTGGCATTTTTGTCAGCCGCCGCCATTTTGGGCCACTTTTGAATGGCCTGAAGCAGTGGCAATGGTCGTCACATTTTTCTTTTGCCAATATTTTCTGGCTGCTGTTCGCTCATGGCAGGGTCGGGTTCATGGCCCTTGCCTGTGGAGCGAGCAGGTGTATTGAGTGCTTTTGCACACAATAATATTTATGAGACGTGGAGGCTGTTAGTGCCTCTCAGTTACGGGTTTTTGGGGGGTTTATGTGTGCATGAGCTGTTTCACCCATTGTGTTTTCCCATGTTTTCAGTACAATGTCAACCACCCCCCCCACCCCCATGCTTTCAACACACATTTGAGAACTAATGAGGGGGGTTAAAGTAGCCAGCATAGGGCTAATTCTTTACCCCCTCCCCACATTTATACACCACACGTTGGAACTACTGAGCCTTAATGACCTTGCTGGGAGAACATGGGGCTTGCTATAGGAGGGCACTATCTTCCCAATTTAGGTTTGGCTTTATTATTAGGGCAGATATTATCTCTTTTAACTCTTTGATTCTACTCCGCCGTGCGGGGTATGGGGACTGTGTCACCTTCTCCTGTTACTAAGGTTGGGACCATGCTCTTGCCTCTTATAACGGGGTGATTTACATTGGGCAATGCTCAAATGGTGATAGAGAGGAAAGGGTGTTGGGTCATCGGGATTGTTCCAACTCTTTGATTCTATGATTCTAAGAGGGGGCTGTTCCAACTCTTTGATTCTATGATTCTGTGAGTGGGATTCTAAGAGGGGTCTGTTCCAACTCTGTGATGCTGTGATTATATCGGGATTAGGCGGAGGCTATGGTTTGGCACCGTGCTTTTTCCAACTCTTTGATTCTATGTTCATTTGGTGCGATGAGCAATTTTTCATCACTGGAGGGAGTGGATAGGTGCTGAGGGGTTAGCGCTGAGTGTGTCGAGCGAGCTCTCATTGCCAATTTTACTCCCTTTATTTGTAGGATGCCATCGAGGAAGAACAAGGGTGGCCCTAAGGGGAAGGGTCCCGTGGAGAAGACGGGTCATAAGCGCCCTTTGCGGCAGGATGGGTCATCGTCGGACGAAGACGGGGTGTCTATGGAGGATTTGGAGGCCCTTCTGCAGCGCGTTAACCAGATTGAACAAAATAGGGGGGTTGGTTTGGGTAGGGCTGCCGCAGGCTCTACTCGCAGGGCAAGTAAGAAACAGTTGTTCAAGTCTCTCTTGTCCCGGGTTTCTATTATAGAGTCGACATCAGCGGCAGGGGCAGGAAGGGCAGTCCGGTTTCCTGAACAACTGGCGATCTCGGGTGCCACGGAAGGCCCTGCAGTGGTGTCTTCGGCTGTGCAGACCATCACCGGCCCTGACGCACCTCCATCGGTGTCGGCCTCATCTGGCTCCTCAGCGGCTGCTGTGGCCGGACCCAGTCAGCCCGCGGCGCTGGCCTCCGTGGCTAGTGCGGCGGCCGGGTCCACTCAGTCAGTGGGGTTGTCGGCTGCTGCTGTTGACGTGGCGGGGAGTGAGCAGTTGGTGACGGCTGTCCCAGCAGGTACTTCTACCGCACTCACATCATCGTGCACTTCCACCTCACCCGTATGGCCCTGGGATCAGGGGAGAGCTGCGGGGGCGGATCAGGCTTCCAACGCAGTTGGGGTTCAGGCTGTGGGGGGGTCTGAATCCAATATGGGAGATAGGAAGGATGATT